TTTTTTTTTAATTTTCCTAATATTTTATTGCAATATAAATATTTTCAAAATGATAAAATATTATATATTTTTTAATCTTTACAAAAGTAATATTGTATTGAAGCAATATTTAAAAATATTATTCAACACATAAATCGCATAACTCTCGCAATACTAAGTATGCTTTATAGAGTTCTATTGATTACCTAACTTGTCATCATTCAAGATGCTCATCAAATTTTCTCTCTTAGCCAATCGCAGTGCTTCGACTTATTCGTCATTTCCAGCTGATTTAATATACGTTTCTGTAAAATGATAATCGCCTTTATGTATTTCATTATTTCACAGCTGACGTCTCTTATCGCACGCGATCCACAACTACGAAAAAACTGGTTCGATGGGTTTTTATTTTCTGTGGAAGAGTCACTGTATTCCTCATTCAATTGTTGTCGCTGCTGCTGCTGCTGCTGCTGCTGCTGTTGTTGTTGTTGTCGCTGAGAGGCAGAAAGCAAAACAAAGCAAAATAATAGGCATGAGCGAAATAATAATGCGATTTTAAAGTCTCAACATGAGTGCGAGCACTCGTCATAGTTTAGAGCTTTGCTGCATTATCTGCCCAGATGAGTTATATGCTCAACATATTTACGAGCAGGCACATTGCCTAAGGGAAGGCTGAGGAGTGTGGCTAGCGGAACCGGAAGCTGGCAAATGTCATGAAACAGAGTGCCTGGTTGTGATTTTAAGTTTCTTGACCCCTCCAGCCAGCCAGCCAGTCAGCTAGTCAGCCAGATGAAAGAGCAGCCCGGGATTAGGCCACAGCCAGACGGGGGTAACTCTGCCGCATGAATCTCAATGTTGTTGTTTAGACTGCGGCCACGTACGTCCACTGATTTGTCTCTGCAATTGCCTGGTCCTTCGCCTAACAGCTATCTCTCATGTCCAACACACTCACACGCACACACACACACACACACACATGGGCAAAATGACATTTAAAGTTACGACAATATAATTAAGTAGACATCTGGGAGTTGCGGCAAGTGCTAGCTGAGGAATAATTATATATGTATACGTATATATGTATAGAAGGAAAATATATATATATATATAATATGTGATTGTGTGTGTGAGGCAGCTATCAGAGGCATGCAACACTCTTGCGCTACACTTGGAGAGAAAGTGTGCCACGTCGCAGCCTCAGTAGTTGCCTCAGTCACGCCCACACATTTAAAGAGCTTTATCTCTTTTAGATATACCCTGTAGCTGCGAAAAATGTGTTAAGGGGAATTTCGACTGACTATATAATACTCTGTAGCTTGAAGTATGTATGTATTAGGTATGTCAATGAGAATATAATACTGAATACTAAGATATGTACATGTAGATAAAAAATTACTAAAATTTTCGTAAGCTTCAAGTAACTGTGACTTCTAAGCGAAATACAGCTTATTTTATTTATTTTTTATTTTTTCACTTATACTAAAATTGTTTTACACTTTAAATATTCTATTTAAATTTGCAGAATATCATTTAGTCCAATCTCCTTCACCTTCGTCATCCACATCCTTCAGTTCGGGGTCTTTAAAAAGTTATTAATCTAGGGGTATCGAGTAAATAAATTCCTTTTAATTGAGTTTTAAATGCAGCCACTGACAATTTGCATAAAAGCTGACAGAATGCTAAAAATGTTTTTGTTATCCCTCCATTATCCAAAGTCCGGAGTCCTGAGTGCTGAGTCCTTAGTTCATGTCATATGAGCACATGCATGCGTGCATGCATATCAATCATGCAGGTTGTGAAAGCAGCTGCTAAAAGCCATAATTACATGCAAGATTGACTTTTAATTTGATTTCAGACAAGAGCAGCAAAGCGTTGAGTGGAAAAGTAAAATGAGAAAATGTATATAAAATCTGCTTTAGTTATTGCAGCAACTAAAGATACTATGGAGACTAGTATGAAGGAAAGTAGAAACACTAGTAAAATAAAAAGAAAGTAAGGTTAGAAATAGATCTTGAGTTGAGGAAAATATAAATCATAAAAAAAAATTCAAAAGAAAATCAAAATCGAATTCGACTATATTTAATCCTAATAAATTAATATCATTTGTTTTGCCTCTCCAACAGATTTCATATGATTATTTATTTTGCTTGCAACATTTAATCAAATCTTATGAAATAATCTCTCATATCTTATTCTGCGTCATTTTCGAGTATATCATGATTCGTGCTTAATATAATATTTCCTTCTGACACCCTCTTAAGTACGTTCTCACTCTTATTAATTGTTTTGCCTGTTCCGTTTCATCTTTCAAAAAAGAAAACAAAAATTGCTTGCCTAATTTTTCTTCTTTTTTTTTACTCTTGCACACGCAACATGGTAACACGCTTTCCCAGCTTTGATGCTGCTTTTCGTCCTTGCCGATGGCGTGTGTTGGGCCCATGACTGGGACTGGACCTGGAATCCAGCTGCTGTTGATGCGTTTCTAATGTGCAAAATATTAATTATAAAATAATAATTGAATTGTGCTCGGGCCAAGTCCAGGTCTGGCAGCTTTGCTGAAAGGTAGATATATAACTCAGCCCCACACACACACACGTACACTTTTCTTTGTTTAGATATCCTTCACACGCTAAGAGTTCATTAGCGATTGCTGGGGAACGAAACAAATTGTGCGCATCTGTTGGATTTCATGAATCGAAATTAGCCGCTGCGCAGATTACGATTTAATGGAATCAACAAATATGGCTCCAGGGCAGAGCCTTCCTGATCTGATTAAAAATAGTTAATGGAAGCTGGCAGGTGTGCGCCAACTAGCAGAGAAATTAATAACGAATATTATTAATGAAGCTGCATAAATTATGTAAATTGCCAATAAATATACAATCCGTGCTATTTGCTACGGTTTTAAGATATATTTCATCATTAGGGAACCACCTACAGAATCTCAGGAATTATTTAATAGTAAATTGGTTATGACAGGGAAATAATAAGGTTTCGAAATTGTAAAGTTTTTTTTTATTTTTATTTTTTTAATTAAAAAAAGATAGATTTATGAATAAATATTAAATATAAATTAGATTGAGATGCAATCATTTGTATAAATATTAAGGTTTATAAAAGTTCGTTTAGTTGCAACTAATTTATGTTGGTTCTCAAGATATGGATTATATATTTTATAAGCCTACAAATTCTATAAATTTTTGCTAAATTTAAAATTTGTCGCTTAGCCAAATTCACTCAGCGCACTAATTCATAAATCTTTTGTGATTTATGGAAAAACCAAGCTAAGAATAAAATTCAATTGCAAGGGAAATAGAAAATTCTCCTGACGCACATTAAAATTTAATAAGTTTTCATAAGAAGCCCAACGATTTGGTCTGCAACCACAATCATTTTGCGTTAGTTTGTCGAAAACTGTGTGGAAAATTGTGTGGAAAATTGTGAGAAAACTGGCCGCAGACGAGAAGAAAGCTGCGGTTGCAATGCCTGTCAATGGCAGCAACTTGCTGCCTATGCAACTTTTGAGCTTCCAGACCGCAAAAATAATGAGTAACACAATAGAAATTGACCAGCTGATACCCTGTAAGCAGTAAAAGGGTTTGCTGAGTAAGCAAATAATTATAAAATATTCAAAGAAGTTTTGAGTTTATATTTTCTGAATTAGAATTTATTTCTAATGAGAGTAAACTAAGAAAATCTGAACGCCGTTCGGCATATAAAAATTTAACAATTAAATTATAGAGCATTAACTATTTTATTACTTATTTTATTTTATTTTATTTAAATACATATATATCAATT